GGACCAGAATTTCCATTGTTAAGCAAGGCAGTATTTAAATGAATCATGCCTGATTTTATGACCTTGTTGCTGCAGCTGTTAAGCGAATCCAGCTTCTCCCATTGACTTTGCTCGTCAGAAGTTTGCAAATGGAAATCACATCACTCTAGGATGCTGCAACCATCCTAAATACATTCTGGTTGCCAAGTATCCACATTTTGATTATATGACTGGGGATGCTGTGAGGGTTGCAAGTGTGAGAATCAGTTATAAGACCAATTATTTTTTCAATAACACTGTAATTTTGAATGATTACTAAATGAATGATTGCTTGCAACCTGTATTTTTATCCATCTGTTTCTATTTAGCAAGGACAGTTCTTTTTTAATTGTCCTTTGTTTTTTCTCCGGTGTATGCAGATGAGAGGGAGGGACATTTCTTATGTATGCAAACCTGCAAATGTCAACATTTTTTCTGTTCCAGTTGCCACTAGAAAAAGCAGGACCACCAGAACAATAAAAACAACCTCACTGAAATACGGATAATATAATACAACCTTAGCAACCTGCAATTTGGGGGTGGGGGATTTTTTATATTTTGTTTTTCTCTTTGAGACAGTTTATTTCATTCTGGCTTGCCATTGCCTGCTTTCTAGGTTTGAAGGAGAGTGATTATGCCAGCAGGTCTTGCAACATCAGGGGACATGTGAATTAGTGAGGGCTCCCTTATTGTTAATATCCCTTCCTCTATTAGAAGGATAGAAAAATGGATGAATGGATTCCAGATGATAGAAGATGAGAGAGAGAGAGACTGACTGACTGACTAACTATCATCTAAAAGGTACAGGACAGTAATTTCTGTTGGACCTGGGAATGCTATATTCGTTGTGTGTATTATAGTTGCCTCACATTCCTGCTGAGGACAAGAACAAGATGGAGATATACACAGACACTGTTCAATTTCAGCAATGGGACACCTCTAAGTACAATGGGTTATTTATGGAAAAACTGCTTTCAACATCTTTTAGCTTCTGCAACAGCGTCCTAATGTGGCAGTCTTGTTTTATTACATGGAAAACCTTATTCAGAGAGATATGCTGACACTAGCACTAAAGTGCAGCAGCTACTCAATCCAGGGATGTCCTCCACAGAGATGTTTGCTCTCTTCATATCATGGTAGGAACCACAAGGGAGTTGGGAGGTCATCAAGCCTGGCTCGCCATTGAAACACTGGACATAAGTGAGAGATCATGTCCTTATTCTCCTGTCCAACACTGGGTCACCATTTTCTGCTGCCATTAGGCTGCCATTTTCTGAATAGTAATGGCCTAACCAAAAAGAACCTCTTATACACATGGGCCCTTTCCAGGGGTGAAATGCTCCCAGTTTGGACCGGATTGCCCGATCCGGTAGCGATGGCGGCGGGTGGTTCGGAGAACTAGTAGCAAAAATCCCTCCCCACCCCCATGCCCAGCTGAGCCACGCAATCATCAGAGGCTTTTTATTTTATTTTTAAAAGCATTTTTTTACAACTTCTTTGGCCGAAAAAATGCTTTTAAAAGTAAAAATAAAGCCTCTGCCGATCAGGCAAGTCAGCTGAGATCGTCAGAGGCTTTAAAATAAAAGAAAAGCCTCTGCTGATCAGGCAAGTCAGCTGGGATCCTCAGAGGCTTTTAAAAAAAAGAAAAGCCTCTGCTGATCAGGCAAGTCAGCTGGGATCCTCAGAGGCTTTTAAAAAAAAGAAAAGCCTCTGCCGATCAGGCAAGTCAGCTGGGATGTCAGAGGCTTTTAAAAGCATTTTTTTAAAAACCTCTTCAGCTGAAGAGGTTGTAGAAAAAATGGTTTTAAAAGAAAAAAAAAGAGAAAAAGTTGGTCACGTCCACTCAGTCATATTACCCCCCTCCACCAAGCCACGCCCACAAAACCGATAATAACAAATTTTACATTTCACCATTGGCCCTTTCTCTCACAAGAACCATTCCAGCAAATTGTAATGCCTATCAGAATTCAACTGATAACGCCAGAGAAGAGCAAAATAAAGGCCTCCACTCTGGTGCTGTTTAGAAGGTTCACTTAGGTCAGGAGTCTGCAACCTTAAATACTCAAAGAGCCATTTGGACCAGTTTCCCACAGAAAACACTGGGAGCCACAAAACCTGGGTGAGCGTAGCCAACTCAACATCACTCACTCCCACCCAGTCACATGACTGCCCCCACCAGGCACGCCTACCCAGGTTTTGTGGCACCCAGTGTTTTCTTTTCTGTGGGAAACAGGTATCTCTCTCTCTCTTTCCCTCTCTCTGTCTCTCTCTCATCTCTCTCATCTTTCTGTCTGTTTCTCTCTCTCATCTCTCTCTCTCTGTCTGTTTCTCTCTCTCTCTCTCTCTTTATATATATATTTATATATATACAGAGTCTAACTATATATAGTCAGAAAGTACAGGGGCACTTAGCTCCCGCTCTGGAATATGGAGCGAGTCTCCATCTCCCGCCATCACCCTTACCTTCTCAGGCCAGGTGAGGAGTGATTGGGAAGAGATTGTGGGGGCAAAGCCATCCGGTGGTGGGTTCAGCCGACAGGGAGCCATAGCAGGGGGACAAAAGAGCTGCATGCGGCTCCGGAGCCGCAGGTTGCTGACAGCCAATCTAAGTCTTCAGTGAGGGAGAGCAAGACCCCTCACTTAATTGTGTTTGCCATCTTTCATCTTTATCCTTTATTGCAATGTTTTTCAACCTTGGCTGCTTGAAGATGGGTGGACTTCAACTACCAGAATTCCACAGTCAGCCATGCTGGCTGGGGAATTCTGGTAGTTAAAGTCCACCCATCTTCAAGCAGCTCAGGTTGAGAAACAATGCTTTATTTATTTTAATGTCATGTTTTGCTTGATTTTGAGAGTAATTGAGAGTTTGGTGTCATATAAGTTTAATATGTTGTTGTTCTTGTTATATGTTGCAGCTATAACAGATACCGAGTATCTTATGTGTGTAGAAACCTGTCTCTGGGTCTGCGTGCAAATCCTTAGTTTCTCCTTAGTTGCTCTCCAGTAAAATGAGTTGTCAGCTCAATAATGTCCATTCAAGCAAGAAGGAGAAAGGATACATCTTTGCAGCGATTTGCAAACATTTTCCTCTCAGGACACCTTTGCATTCTTAAAAAAGACTGATGACCCCAGAGAGCTTTGATTTATGTGGGCTATGTATTGACATTTACTGTACTACAAATTAAAACTGAGATTTTAAAAAAATATTTATTTGACCTTGTGGATCTCCTGAAAGTGTCTTGGGGACCCCAGGGTCCCCAAAACACATTTGGAAATCCACTGCTCTAGTGGTAACTTGGGAGCCCAAGTGTGAAAGCTTCCCATTGACAAGACCAAAGACTGTTTTGCTTGATGCACAAACACTTTCAGAAATTAATGAAGACAAAAACGTTATTTTCAGAATTACAATCTAAACTTTGTATCGTTGAAAAGGGAGAAATTGGTTTATTTGAAATCCCAGTGTTTTCAGTTTCAGCTGTAAGAAACCATACAAAACCGCTAGAAAGAAATTTAATCCTGGTTCAGAATATTGGCAAAAAGGAACTCTATTGGGGATTCCCAGCATATTTCCAGAATTTTATTTGCGATCCAGACAACGTTATCTTTCATTTGTACCTCTCCGGAACTTTCCCACCTGGAAAAAGAATTACAGAAGAAAAAGCTATCGGTAGATTATAAACATTAGATGTCCGTCTGGAGTTCTCCGGAAAAGGATTATTAAAATTAATGAATGAATGAATTAATATTAATTAATTAATTAATGGTTACCTCGCAACCTGCCACAAAAATCCTTGTTTGTTTTTGGGGGTTATTTTTTTATTTTATTTTTAGGAACAGCAGTTCGGTAAGGTCAGTTCCGTTTTAGAAGATGAAAATGAAAAAAGCATGGTTTGAATGAAATCTCAAAAGGAAATAAAATACGAGACAGAACATCTGGGAATAGTGTACATAGTGTATCCCGTGGTAGTATATATAATATAACCCATGATCAAACGATCATGATATTATGGTTGTCATTACTACTCCTACTCCTGCTACGGTTATTCCGTTGTCAAGTCAGGTGTCTGCAGAGAGAGAGTCATTTTTCCAAAACTCTTCCGCTTCACACTTTAGGATCTGAAACCCCCGTATTTTCTTTTTTTAAAAAAATAAAATAAAAATCCGATCCTGGTGGTGGGGTGGTGTCGGGGGTGGGTGGGAGACGGAAGAGAGGGTCGCGCTAAATCTCTGGACGGAGAAAGGGTTAATAGCCCGGCGGCCACGTGGGAAAGAAGGAAGAGGAGGCGGCGCCTTCCTGCTCCGCCTTTGGGCTGGTGAAAAAAAAAAGGTTTGGGGTTTAAAACCCCTCCCCTCCCCCTTCTCCGGTTTAGGCAGCCGCATCTGCTGCAAGAGGGTGAGAGGGAAGACCAGCTCTCCCAAGGGTGAGTTACAGGATAGAGGCGGGCCTTCCCTTCTAAAAAAGACACGTGCGAGAAGAGGAGGAGGAGGAGGAGGAGGAGGCGGCAAGGTAAAGGGTTTAGCTGGGGAGGGCGCTCCTTTTATCATCATTCAAGGTGGGCATAATATCAAAAGGTCGGAAAGGGGTGGCTGGGTGGGAGAAAGCTTAGCCATCTCTTCGCCCCTCCCACCCCCAACCACATCAAAGAGGCAAAATGGCTGCATTCCCCTTGTCTTGGTGTCCTATGCAGGGGGGAACGGATGAGCTGGAAGCGCCCCGAGAGGCTTTGCTCCGTGGGGCGTAGGGCAGTCGAAAGCCCCGCTTTGCAGGAGAAAGGGTGGGCGTAGCAGAGAGGAAAGTGAGGGCGCGGGGTTGGGGAATGAATGGCTCAAGGTCCTTCCCGTGGGGGGTGCGTGTCTCTTGCAAAGGGGGTGGGGGGGGGCCCTTAAAGGGGTTTGCAGTGGGAAAAACCCTTTGCGGGTGATGGTGGCGGTGGGGAGGCTGATATTTAGGAAGAAGGGAGGGCGGGGTAGAAAATGTTCTCCTGGAAAGCGGGTGACAGGAAGTGGAGGTGCAATGAGCGAAGTTGGAAGGGGAAAGTTAGGGGTAGCTGTGCTTGGCTTGGGGGAGAACAGGAAGAGGAGTTTTGCAAACCGTAAAATGGAGGAAGGGGATCTCATCGTCTGAAGTGGGGAAAGGAGAGGAGGATTCGTTTTTATGAAAGTTCTCCCGTTCAACAATGAGGTGATATTATAAGCCCCCGAGCCCCGTTTGGGAAAAAGTGACATGGCTTGCACATTTAGGAATAACAGTAAATGGATCTGCCTGCTTCTTCAGCCCGTGACTTCTCTAATGAACCAATCAGAGCCTCTATTCCAATTATTAAAAAGATGGTGTGCTGTTATGAGTTGCTGTTATAGCAGGTACATTTTTAAAAAATCCACAATTGATGAGGTTGGTAATTGGTCAGCGGGCCTTATCCTCTGCTCCCTATCTTCTCTCTAGGGCATTTTATGGATGTTTTAGAAAGGGGTGCATTTGTGAGATAGATATTTCTCTTGGTGTTGTTTGGAAAATGGGTAGAATTTTGAATTTTTTAGATATATATCATGTGAAAAACTCCTTTGCCTCAGAAATCTATGATTGAGTTGGTAAAATAAATCAATGAAAATAATCTATTTGATATTTTTGCTTGTTTGTCAAAATCCCAAACAGAGATTGCATCCAGTAAATTAGAGTCAGTAAACCAATTCTGACAATTGTTGATTCTGAAAAAAAATATCCTTTCCATGTACAATACATTTAAATGTGTAAATCTAAATATGATTAGGCAAAAAAGTGCCCCTGCTGTTACTTGTTTTTATAATATATTTTGTATAGGATAGTAGCTTTATATTGTTTGATCATTTGCATTTTTTTGAAAGAAGGGGCTTTTTTCCCCCTTTTAGATTAAATGTCTCAATGATTACTTTGAGCACTATAAAAATTTGATATGATGTCTCAGTTGGGATTGGGAACAGGTAGAGCCCTGGTCCAGATTTTCTTTTCAAATTTATTCATTAATATTGACTGAGTAACTTTAGTGGAAAAGCAAGTTATAAATCATACTTACAATGTGACAAGAAGCAATTGGGAAGAATATGCAATTTTTGAAATACAAAATTAGGGAATTTTTTCAGATTTTACTCATTACTACTGTAGTTGAAAATGAAGATAGTTTCAAATTTATTGTTTTGGGAGGGAATCCTTTAGAATTCGATACATTCACCCCAAAGAATCATTGACCATCATATGTTTTCCTGCATATCATTGTTACTTATAACTATGCAATGACCAGTGAAATCAGCTCAAGTGTAGAGAAACTAAACATAAATAATTTTCTATGGTCACTTCTGGATCAAGTGGCACCATATGCCACTGGCAACATCTTCGTGAGTGGGGAGAAATGCATCCTTGTGATTTTGTACATAAATGATTTTTAAATGGAATTGCAAATCTATTTCACCCTGTTTTCGAAATTAGAAAACTTGAGAAGAAAATTCCTGACTTTTTCTGCTGGTTAACAATGAATAGTTTAAAATTATCCTGGCAGCTGTGCCATTTTGTTTTACTTTATAGATTTGGTAAACTATTCATTTTATCAGCACCTATGTGGGTGTGTGCAAACAAACAGCCTTGAACTGCCATAAAAGAAGATAACTATTGTGGAACAGTTTTGCTATTTTCTGGGGAGATGGAACAATGTTATATGAGCTCCATGATTTCAGAAATGAGGTGAATATAATATATTAGGTGATTTCTGCAACCAGAACATTTAATCAAGAAACACTGTCATATTAGAGAAAGATTAGTTCTAAGCTGTGGTTTCTAGCATGGTGAAAGAGTGAGGAGACAACCATACTGTAATGTGATCTATTTATTAGATTTTTATCCCAACTTTATTACTTTATAAGAAACTCAGGATGGCAAACATACCTAATACTCCTTCCTCCTCCTATTTTCCCCAGAACAAACAATCCTGTCAGGTGAGATGGACTGAAAGTGTCTTGCCCAAAATTACCGAGTTGACTTTCAAATCTAAGGTGAGACTAGAACTCACCAACCCCTGATTTCTAGTCCAGCACCTTAATCATACCTCCAGATTATGAAGTGGTAGAATCCACAGAGTTATTATTCTGAATGTGTAGATTCAGGGAGAGAGCTGCATGGATGAAACCATCATCCTCTGCTCTTTCTCCCCTCCCTTTCCGAAAATAGATTAGGCACAGAATAATCACTGTAGTATTACTCCTTTCCCCATTGCCTTTGTGAAGGAGTTGTTAACTGTTACAAGGGAGGTTTTTCTTTGACATTGACTCATCTTAAACTTTTCCAGTCTTTAATTTGCCCTGTGTTTTTTTTTAGGCAATAGAAGCTTTCTGATTGATGACAACTGCCCCAGTGAATGAAAGCAGGTTTAAATGGTTGAAGCATGATTAAATTATAATTGCAATATGTGAAAACAAGGGGTAACTGTTCTGCTCTTAAAAGTGAAGTCTTTTTTGTAATTTTTTTACATTTCAGGGTAATTTTTTTCCTAAAATGGTTTTTGCCATGGGAAACATATCTATCATCCTAAGTTAAACCAAAGCAAGCTGTACAAAAAACGCTTTTCCTCAGAAATAGCTTTCTTCTTTATATGGAAATGAATTACGTAAATATGAATTTGATTAATCTTACGTTGTTGACAATCACAGGTGATTGTTTACTTTTTTGTCTTTTTAGGGAGAAAGTACTCATTTGGAAAAACAAAATCCTCTTGATGTATGGCGGAATCCTGTGACAGAGCAGTTTCCTTGACAACAGTCTCTCTGCCTCCTGGAAATTGTTGGTAAACTTTGGCCTAAGCTCATGGTCAAAATTTGAGGAAGAAGAAGACTCTTCCCACCATGTTTGCCTGTGAGACTTGGGGTATCACTGGCCAGACCTCAGTCTACAATTGGGACAAGTCTGTCTACCTCTTAGAAGATAAAATGGAGTCCATACAGGGTTCAAGAGAGCTGGATCTCCATTTTAAGGTGCTGCTTGAGCAGGAGATGTATCCAGAGATCACAATTGAAGAGGAAGAGGAAGAGCCTGAGGAAGTAGAAGTAGATGCTGAAGGGGAGGCAGATGAAGATGAAGAAGAGGAAGAGAGGGGAGAGGAGGAGGAAGAAGAGGAAGAAGAGGAGGAGGAAGAAGAGGACGACGGAGAAGGGGAGGAAGAAGAGGAGGAGGAGGAGGAGGAGGAGGCACATCCACGAGGTCCTCAGCAAGAGGCAGTGGGAGCAGCTGATGGAGATGGCTCCCTCTTTGTGGTGTGTACTGGAACAGTTGAAGAGCTGCTAGGCTTAGAGACATCACTAACTGCTGAATCAGTGCAGCTAGAGGCAGTACAACCACAGCGCTGGGAGGTTCAGTGGGAGGAGGTGTCCCAAACTTCACAGCCTCTCCTCCCTGAAATTATAGAGTCACCATTAATATCCCCAGAAGCAGACACCTCCAATATCACTCAAGTAGTGGAAGTTGCTGCAGTAGAGGTAGAACCAGAGGCCTTCCCAACCACTTTGGAGCAACTAGGGAATATTTCGTCCTCATGGGGAGCATCTTTCATTGAAGAGAGCCACCGGGACCTTCAGCGTTCCCCAGCTAGTGCAGATAGAGGGAGTATTGGCAAAGCACGGACACCTTTATCTGGAGGAGTCAATTTCAGCCTGGAGACTGCTCGCCGGCGCTTCCGGCAGTTCTGTTACCAGGATGCTGAGGGTCCACGAAAGGCATGTGGTCAGCTCTGGGAGCTTTGCAATCATTGGCTGAAGCCAAAGAATCGCACTAAGGAACAGATTCTTGACGTCCTAATCTTGGAGCAGTTCCTGGCTGTTCTCCCTCCTGGAATCCGAAGTCAGGTATGGGAATGTAGCCCAGAGACTTGTGCACGGGCAGTGGCCCTAGCAGAAGAGTTCCTAGCCAAGCAGAATGAAGCAGAAAGACTAGAGGAGGTAAGATGGTTCAGTCCCCCTTCTTTTCCTCACATATATTCTTAAGATTCATTATTGGGCTATATCCGTGATGGCAAACCTATGGCACGTATGCCAGAGGTGGCATGCAGAGCCCTCTGCTGGCATCTGCACCATCGCCCCAGGTCAGATCTCTGTGGCCTTTCTTTCGTGAGCTTCTGTTTCCCTGCAAACAATGAAACAGAAGCTCATGAAAGAAAAAGATCTTACCTCTTGCCATGCTGCCAGTGTTGGGATGCCCCGCCTTCCACCAGCCAGCTGGTCTTCAGATCTCTGCTGCACATGTGCATGCATGTCTGTGCATGACATGTCCACGTATGTGTGTGCATATGCAGTTTTCAGTTTGGGCATGCCCGCGCACTTTGGGCACTTGGTATCTAAAAGCTTCACCATTACTGGGCTATATTATTTGGGGGGAAGACTTTGGGATAGACAAGTGCCTGAGACAGGATAGCTGCAGCAGGTATGGGAAGTAAATGAAATGGGTGGAGAGTCAAAATGTTTTCCTTTTGGAGCAAAAGATGTTCACACTTGGCTGGTGGCAATTGCGCAATTATTATTCATGAAGACTTTGTGATACTATCTTCCAACTACCTTTCAAAGCATACAAATCTCAATGACTGCCCCATAAAACATCACAGAGCAATAAAATAAAGCACCCATAAAATTGAAGAAATATAATTCATTCTTTCAATTTCCAGTCTGAGGAGGTCTCAGCAGGTTTATGGCTCCTCCAAATTAGCAAGATGAATGCCATTTTTAAATATTTCCTCCTATAGCCATGATGGCGAACCTATAGCATGCATGCCAGAGGTGGCACATGGAGCCCTGTCTGCTGGCACACGCGTCATCACCCAGGTCAGATCTCCGTGGTGTTTCTTTTGTGAGCTTCTTTTTCCCTGCAAATGGCAAAACAGAAGCTCATGAAAGAAAAAGATCTTATCTCTTGTCACGCTGCCGGTGTTGGGATGCCCCATCTCCCGCTGGCCAGCTGGTCTTCGGATCTCTGCTGCACATGCATGTCTGTGCATGTGCATGTCTGTGTATACGTGCACATGCACATCTTTTATTTTGGGCATGCATGCGTGTAAAGTTTGGGCACTCTGTGTCTAAAAGGTTCCTCATCACTGTTCTATAGCAAGCTTTAGACAACCACACCAAACCACAGTTAGTACTTGAGGTGGTTGTCCTTACTTCTCCCTTGGCTTGTTTTACTTGCAGATCTATGGGCAGCAACCAAAGGTGATCTCTCATCTGCAATCTGAAATGCTACAATCCACTGTCTTCTTAGCAGCCCTATCACACTGCAATCTATTGGCAATGCCAGCTGTCCTTAGCCAATTGTGGCCTGCTGATGCCATATGCTCACCTCACTTCTTGCTGCTTTTAATCCATGAGCTTGGAAGGTTGGGCAGGAGGGGAAATAATAGCAGACAGTCAAGCCCCTGTGCAAAAAGCGGGGAGGAAATATGCATAGGGAAAAAAATTCTGGCAATGGCTGAATGAGCTGGAGTTTTTTATTTCTTTCAAACTGTTCCCTGATTTCCTACAGGGATGTAAACCAGTGGTAGAAATAACTCCAGGATCAGATTGCTATTTTCATAAAAATGTGTTTATAAACACATTTAAAACACAATGTGTCTTGGCTTGATCCTCAACCCCATCTGAGGTTTCCAGCAGTGTGGAAACTATCACCCCACCCCAGTGCTGCTAAATTACAACTCACCATGTCTTTTCATCAGCCCAAGCTGATGGGTTTGCTGATGGAGGTTCGCTAGCTTTCTGTCTGTCCTTGTTTGAAAGTTTGTTATGGACACAGTACCCCCCATCTCTTAAACAGGGAGATGAGACCAATCAGAAATTCCTATCTGAAGAAACTCTCTCTTGGTTGAAGCACCTGATTTTCATATTGAGATTAAAATGACATTTCTGGAACTATTTAGCCCTTTAGAACTTTGTCTTAACCTTCAAATGTGTATTAATTGCAATCCTGGATTTAAAATGACTCATGGGTGCTTCTGCCTCCACTATAGCAAAATTGGAAACTACATTTTGAACTAGAAATGTTTGCGAGTTGCAATATGACTGGATGCAGATATTTAGATAGGTTGCCAGTTCGGTTTAATGGTTAAGGCACCAAGCTAGAAACGAGACCATGAGTTCTAGTCCCTTCTTGGCATGAAAATTGAGTAGGTGACTTTAGACCAGTCTCTGGTTATTGTGGGGAAAATACTGTGGTAGAAGGAAGGAGTATTAGGTATGTTCACTACCTTGAGTTATTTTTAAAAATAAGATTGGATACAAATAATGTCCTCATCCTTGAGAACTAGATGGATAAAAATGCCAAATCCAGCCTAAACGTTTGGGTAGCGTGCAACAAACTATAAAAATAATAATATTCCTTGGCATAATGGTAAACAAAGCACTCACGTATCTAGAGGACTGTAGGCTTAATAGTTTTCAGCTATTTTATGTTGCATCAACTTTCTGAAGTTACTAGCAGAGGATTTTCTCATTACCTTTTGTTTGATCCTTGTATTTAGAGAAGTTGGATGCAAAACTTTTTACCAAAAGTAGTGAACCGCCAAAAGTCTCCTTCTGTATTGTGAAGACAAGGAAACTTTCAGATATTTTGGATCTCAAGTCATCTTTAGTCAGCATGGCCAATGGCAAAAATTGTGGGAACTGTAGTCCATAAGATCCGGAAGGCAGCTGGTTGCCTACTCCTCGTCTATATAGACTAGACCAGATTGCAGATATGCTATAGTGATCATTTCTTTCCAGCAGTGTAAAAATTATCTTTTTACTTGCATTCAAACTTGATAAATTCAGAGAAATTTAAAATTTTCAGAGTTTGATTTTCAATATACATCAAACTTAGAATTGTTAACTTTTTCACAGAAGCCAATATTATTGTTCTGAAGAAGGCTCAGCTTCCTAGGAAAAGTGCCCTATTTTTTTTTAATTTGTAATTTTATTATAACATATACTGTATATGACATTCATATAACATACAACATATACATATCTTATCTCTTTTAAACATTGTGTCTTCGTGGTCTTCTTTCTGTTATTTTATTTTTCCTCCCCTATATCGTCATTTCTTCCTTTTTTTCTTTTTTTCCCCCCCATTGTCCTTTTTTCTTTCCCCCTAAAAATTTTTTTTTTAGCTTTAACAATCTTAACTTTATACATTTCTCTACAATTATTATGTAAATATTTTAATTATATCTTTAATGTTATACATTTCTATATTCTTATTATATCAATACATTTTTATTCCGCTTCATACATTTGTTATGTATATATTTTATACTTCTAATTTTCTATTTCTCGCCTTAAGCCATTTATACCATTTATTCCTTATTCTATAATAATCTGTCTCTTCTTTTTCTTTAATTTCTTTAGTTAATTTATCCATCTCAGCACATTCTAAAATCTTATCTATTAATTCTTCCTCAGTTGGAGTTCTTTCCTGTTTCCAATTTTTTGCATATACTATTCATGCTGCTGTTAAGATGTGTAGCATCAAATATTTTATTTCCTTGGAATATGGTCTTGTAAAGATTCCTAATAGGAATGTTTTTGGTTTTCTTTCTATTTATTGGTCTGTTATTTGTTTCATCCACTTCTTAATATTTGCCCAAAATTTTTTTGCTGCCAGGCATGTCCACCATAGATGGTAATATGTTCCTTGGGATTTCTTGCATTTCCAACATGTTGAGCTATTGTTCGGGTACATCTCTCCAAGTCTTGTCAGTGGCAAATGCCATCGGAAAAGTGCCCTATTATTTGCCATGTTCTCTGCCATTTTGGTAATAGATTGAAATGGTTCACATGCCAGGACATCACACAGCTCTGAATTCCTTTCTTTCCCCACAGAAGGAGAGTGCAGGAAAGGGTCACATCAGATATACATTACACTCTTGGATGTCCCTGCAGAGAGAGGAAAGAAAGAAGCAGAGGCGGTAGTTTTCACAGGCAATTAGGCCTCTTCTTTAACATCTGAGCAATTATAAAAATAGTTGGGATGCCAGAGCTAAGGGACTTCAACTGGAATGAGTTTGGGCAAAATTCTCCCCTCTCTCATCAGGAAAAATTATGCATTTTCCCCCCATCCCCAAGATGTTTTTAGAGATTGCCTCAAGCATCAGGGATACTGCTGGCTCTAAATCATCATCATGCTTATAATTTTTAAGAACAAAATTGTCTTGAACCTCTTTTCATTTCTTTCTTAGCTCTTCAAATCTCTAAACTGTCCACTAAAATCTCATAGGCTTTACGGATCTTTAAATTAAGGCATTTCAACATCTTTCCCCCTGTCTCTTTATTTCCTCTTTGTCATGCTGGTCTTCCACAAAGAGGGTTGCATCAGTAGATTTCCAGAACACTACACAAAGGATGCTGGAAGCTGTAGCCCTGCAGCTTGGAAACAAAGGGTTCTTCTGCTAAGAAGTTAAATTAGGTTTCTTCTAAGAGCTCCTTTCTGCAGAAATATAAACTCTAATCAGAAAATTGTCATTGATATAAATTGTGACATTGGAGCAGAAAGTCATGATTCATGATTTTTTAATTGAAACTTCTTTATGGAAACCAGAAGCAATTGAGGAAGTGTTTAACGTAGTTTCCATACTGTACAACAATCTCAGCCTCCTCAGACTGGTTGCATCCCCCATCATTCCCAGACTGTTATCTTTCCTGAATTCTAAAACCCATGCGGTTTTGGAGTTTCTCTTAATTCTTGTAGCATTTCTAGAATTTCGGTCTTTATTATTTGTGGAAGCCGCAACTATATTTGACTGATTATTTTGAAATTTGATTCCACTGATTGAAATTTAATTTTTGCTTTGGCCTCAGCTCCTAAAATGCCAATAAAAGGACAAACTTAGCATGCCTTGGCCCTCAGTTGATTGTTGTGCACTTTTGTCTTAAAAGGATCAACAGAAAGAAATAGTTACTCAAAAGTCATAACTGCAATTGAA